GTAAATAAAATTTTACGGGGGGGGGGGGGAGGGATGGGGAGGGTGATGGGGCGTGGGGTTGTGTCAAGTAATCTACTTACAACTATGAATATGGGGTGCTTTTTGGTTTATAGTGCACGTTCTTGCACGCTATTCAACAGTAAAACTTTGTAACCTGAACCCATTAAATTTAAATCTTGCATCCGCCACTGCATAAAGTATCATGACGAACGCAAAATACAATACGAAATTAATGCTCTCTAGCGAAAGATAACATAGTTAAATTACCGTCCCCACAAGGATTGAATTTAAACAATCTTCGAATAATTTCTCGCTTAATTGCGATTCAGGATGATCAACACTTGAGTTGGAGTGATTACTACTACAATTAACTATTAAATTAAGATTACTATTATTTAAACCCGATCACAGAGAATGAGAGATGAAATTATAAAACGGTTTGTAAACAATATGAGAAATAAGGGCCATGACATGATAGGTGTAAGATAGTTATTCAGGATTTAACTCTGTTTAAATTCACTTCTAATGTTCTAATCACTCTCACGAATTCACTCGATACTTAGCTTAAAAATAAGGTCAAGATTACTCTCTTGATTAAATCTAAACTCTACAAAATAAACTAATATGAAGCACTGTGGAGATATGCAAGAACACGTTAATGGGTTAGTCTTTAGGAAAATGTCTCTCTAATATTCTCCTAACTTGGTTTAATCAACAATTCAACAAGCTCTCTCGATTACTTAGAAGAATCACTAAATTAACCCAAACCAAATAATACAAAATTAATCACAAAAATATTCCTCTTTCGATTAAATAAACCGGTGAATAATTTCGCAATCAATTCAAAGCTCCATAAACACATTCAAACAATTAATCTAGAATTAAATCTACAAACAACACTCAAAATACCATATCCGTAAAAAACCTAGGGAAGAACCACTCTATAGATATGGAGAACGTCATCACAAATAAGTTTAAGAACATGGAAAACATCAAAGACAACTTTACCATACAAACTGTCATTTTGCACCGATTGTTGGCAAGAGAATTGATGAAATCTCGTGTCTTCAAACCGTAGTAGCTCTTTAAAACTCTCCTACGTTGAATCGCCCTTCAAAATCCGTGTTTAGAATATACAATCAGAGCTCTCTATAACAATATCCTTATATAACAATACTTCACTATAAAAGTCAAGTTTTTCCGGATCCAAATGTCATGTTCTGAGTATAATATATATTATCTATAACATCCAAAAATATCTGAAACAAACAAATTTGTTATAAAGAGGTTTGACTGTACTAATCGAACATGGATAAACCTGGACTAAATTACCCCTGTGAGTCGAAATAGAATAAACTGAGCAAAAATTGTACACGCGCGCCGCATTGGGCGACGCGCTGCGCGCCCTGTTGATGGAGTAATTCAGAAGCTTGTTTCTTGGTGTCTGCCTAAGATTTGGCCAATCATATCAATGGTTCACGACGTCAACATATGACGTATTAGGCCACTAATTCACAAAGTTGGTAGAATGCAATTCAATTGCATTTATTCAGCCACGCTCACGTCATTAGCGATTTTCTTTTA